AAAAATGAAGTGAAGAGGAAAGGATGGATGGAAGGAAGGGTGGGAGGGATGGAGGGAAGGAGGTGGAAAGAAAGAAAAAGAAGGGAGGGAAGGGAAGGAAGGAAGGGAAAGGAAAGGGGAAAGGAATGAGGGGAGGGAATCAAAGAAAAAAAGAAGGGACAAAAAGAGGAGAAAAATGAAGGAAAGGAGGGAGGAAGAAGGGAAGGAAGGGGAAAAAAGGAAGGAGAGGAAGGGAGGGAGGAGAAGGAAGGAAGGAAGGAAGGAAGGAAGGGGAGGAAAGAGGTGGAAAGAAGAAAAAGAAGGGAGGGAGGGAAGGAAGGAAGGGAGGGGAGGAAAGGGAAATGGAAAGGTATGAGGGGACGGAAACAAAGAGAAAAAGAAAGGACAATAAGAGGAGAAAAATGAAGGGAAGAGGAAAGGAAGAAAGGGAAGTAGGGAGGTGGAAAGAAAGAAAAAGAAGGAAGGAAGGAAGGAAGGAAGGAAGGAAGGAAGGGAGGGAGGGAAGGAAAAGGAGAAGAAGGAAGGAGGGACAGGATGAATATAAAAGGTTAATGGCAAAGAGTGAGTAAAAGACAAAGGAAGAGGAATACGTGATGGAGTGAGGTATGGTGAGAGAAGGAGTAGGGAGGGAAGGAGATAAAGACTCTAGAACAAGCTCTAAAGCTGTCAGGACAACTACAATGTACCCACGAGGAACTCTGCACTTGGCTTGACAAAGTCGAGGTGGAATTGTCGTCGTATGATTCTCAGGTCCCCAAAGGCAAAGAATTAAATAAGGCACAAGAAAGGCAAAAGGTCTGTCTCTCATGCATGCTTCTATGGGTAGTAATGGGGGGTTTTTTTTGGGAGTTTATGGTAGGTATGAGGGAATCTGAGGTAGGAAGAAAAAAGGAAAGAAAAGAAGGGGGGGAAGGAAGGAAGTAAGGAAGGAAGGAAGAAGGAAGGGGAAGGGAAACGATAGGGAAGGAAGACACAAAGTGGAGGGAGAGGAAGGGAGGGAGGAAGGAAGGGAAGGAAGGAGGAAGAAAGGAAGGGAGAGGAAGAAGGGAGGGAGGGAAGGAAATAAGGAGGGGAAGGAAATGAAAGGGAAAGAGGGGTACAGAAGACAAAGAGTAAAAAGAAAGGTACATATAATAAGGTGTTAAAAAATTGAAGTGAATCATGAAATTGTTATTATTGGAATTAGGGAGGTTGGAAAGAGTCGGAAGCGACTGAACGAATGAACAACAACATTTTATTATATTATAATAATATTATTACAATTTTTACTATTATATTGTATTTTTATTATTTTATATTATTATATTATATAATTTTATATTATAGATTAATATAATTGACATTATAATTTTATTACTAGTATGATAAATTTATTATTTATGTGTTTTATTATTTTATATTATAATATTTTTATTATATTATTGTATTTATTATATATATTACGTTCTTATACTATTATTATAGATTACTATATTATTAAATAATAATTTTATAGTATAGTATACTGTATTTTTATTATATATAATTATAGAGAATTTTAATTTTAATATAATAATTTTATATTATGTATTATTATAGATTATATTACTATTAGTTATACATTTTTATTATACTATATTTTAATTATTTTGTATTATTATAATTTTATACCGGGGGCTCCTTATTAATTATTATTACTAATTATTATTAATTATTATTATTAATAATAATATTAACATTGATATTATAATAGCAATAAAAATAATGATATTGTTATATTAATAATTATGTTACATTAGATTATTATTATTATTATTATTATTATTATTATTATTATTATTATTATCTATTATATATATATATATATATATATATATATATATATATATATATTAATATTAATTTTAAAATTTATTTATATTTTATTTTAGTTTGTTTACATAGTCAAAGATAATAATAATTACTTTATTTATACGGATCTATTGAATATTATAAAATACAAAGATAAAATATTATAATTAATTAATTATTTAATTTCATTTAATATATTTTATATATTTATGTTTTTCTCTTTTTAAATATAATAAAAATTTTATTTAAATTATTATAATCACATTACAGAGTACTATCAGTGATAAATGTATTCTTTTATTTTGGTGGAGGGAAGCAAAGAAAAAAAAAGAAGGAATGAAAGCAGCTACGCAGAGACTCCTGCAACAGTTGCCCAACACTGGGTTTCTATGGTAGTATTAAAAATAATGACAACAGTCGCTCTTCCCTCTTTGGGGACGTGTGTCGTGGAGCTTCTGAAACCTATGTGCCTTTCACAGAGACACAGTAAACCAGCCACGTTGCTTTCCAGATTGCTTTTATTGATCAATAAATACGGAAACCAAAACCAACAGACGGAGAAAGCCACCCGAGGAGGACGGCTCCTTGAAGTGATGTCCAACAGCAACAACAACAACAAAAATCCACCCCCAACAGAACACAACAAATGGTCAGTAATAAATAAATAACACAAAGGGGCAAAAGCCGGGTGGGTGGGAGGGAGGCCCACGGTTTTGCCCACATAAATAACACCCGATGTAGAAAATAACAACAATACCGAGACAAAAACGCTGCGTTGTCCGCAGACAGGGCGAGTTAAGACCACTGTAATTACAGGCTGCTCTTGGTGTAAACAAAGTGGGGAGAGGAAAGAGTTGGCATCATTAGCCTCCCAAATGCCAATGAGATCCCACTTTGTGGTCCTACGTGTCAAGGCTTCCTAGGAAGCTGATCTCTTTCATCGCTAAGACGTGCCAGAAGTCTAGGGTCTTCCAAATATACTCCAAATTCCTATCAATGGACAACCTACTAATTCCTAGCAAGTGGGGCTGGCAGATTCCTTCTTAGTGGAGAGGCCAGCCAAACCCTTTCAAGTCCTTCCTACACAAGTCTATTTTTCTTGGTCCTGGGATTATATCCCCATTGTATTCTAGTCTGAACTTTAAAGGAACTGTTCAAGTTAGTTACTAAACATCATCCCACCCAATAGCACCAGCCACCCTTCGTTCCTTTATGTAGTGTTTTAGTAGGAGTTGGAAATAGAGTAGAAGCCAGGTTGCTCAGGTGTGCAAATAGATTGTGTTGTCTCACAAAATCTGAAGTTTGCAGGACTTCACGTCATTAACACCAAAATTGGGAATGGTGGACTCACCAGAGGTTGAGTTGTGGTAGGTTTTTCGGGCTATATGGCCATGTTCTAGCAGCATTTTCTCCTGACGTTTTGCCTGCATCTGTGGCAAGCATCCTCAGAGGTTGTGAGGTTCCTACATGAAGAATTCTCTCCTGAAGTTTCACCTGCATCTATGGCAAGCATCCTCAGAGGTTGTGAGGTTCTCACAACCTCTGAGGATGCTTGCCATAGATGCAGGTGAAACGTCAGGAGAGAATGATTCAAGAACATGGTCATATAGCCCCAAAAACCTACAAAAACCCAGTGATTCCAGCCATGAAAGCCTTCGACAATCCACCAGAGGTTGCTGGATTTCAAGTCCCATTAGCCACGGCCAGCATGGCCTACACGGAGGGACAATGGGGTTTGTAACCCAAGTCATCTGGGAGGCCAAATCACCCAACATTTTTGGATGAAGGTATTCGTGCCCTGCCTCACCTATCCCAAATTGAGCAAATTGAGCATGGAGAGGGAAAGCATGTGAGGTGACTAGAGTTGTCCAGTTTCTCCCATTGTAGAACCTTAGTTTGTTTACTGAGTGGTTTAATTAGCTGGCACTCGTGTGCAGAACATATGGCCAGATACTGCTCTGCTGTTTCTTCAGGAAGATGAAGAACTTTGGAGTGCCTTCGCTGAAGGTTTTGGAAACAGAAGCTGAATGGCTGACCTCTCTTGCCTTGGCAGAGAGAGGGATGGACTAGATGACCTTTGGTGTCCTCCCCAACTCTAGGGTCCTTTGAGTCCATTTGCAAACCAACTAGAGAGATCAATGGTTGACCTCTCTTGCATTGGCACAGAGAGGGCTGGACTAGATGACCTTTGGGGTCCTCCCCAACTCCAGGGTTCTTTGAGTCCATTTGCAGACAAACTACAGAGATCAATAGTTGACCTCTCTTGCATTGGCACAGAGAGGGCTGGACTAGATGACCTTTGGGGTCCTCCAAAAGTCTAGGGTTCTTTGAATCTATCTATGGGCAAACTAAAGAGATCAATGGTTGACCTCTCTTGCATTGGCAGAGTTAGGGCTGGACTAGATGACCTTTGGGGTTCTCCCCAACTCTAAGGTCCTTTGAGCCCATTTGCAGGCAAACTAGAGAGATCAATGGTTGACCTCTCTTGCATTGGCACAGAGAGGGCTAGACTAGATGACCTTTGGGGTCCTCCCCAACTCTAAGGTTCTTTGAGTCCATCTATAGACAAACTAGAGAGCAGGCCTGATGCTTTCAGATCCTTCTTATGAAGGTCTTCAAGAGCATGTGGATACTTTGAATCAGAGTTGGAAGATACCCCAAAGGCCATCCAGTCCAACCCCCTTCTGTACTCAGGAAAAACACAATCAAAGCACTCCTGACAGATGGACAGTCAGCCTCTGCTTAAAAATCAACTCTCAGAGCAGATAGGACTCTGATAGGACTCCAAACTCTATCCAAACTTTCTGAGCTGGTCTGCTCTTCCTAGAATCAGAGTTGGAAGACACCCCAAAGGCCATCCAGTCCAACCTCCTTCTGTACTCAGAAAAAGCACAATCAAAGCACTTCTGACAGATGGACATCCAGCTTCTGCTTAAAAATCTACTCTCAGAGCAGATAGGACTCTGATAGGACTCCAAACTGTATCCACATTTTCTGAGCTGGTCTGCTCTTCCTAGAATCAGAGTTGGAAGACACCCCAAAGGCCATCCAGTCCAACCCAGGGAAAGCTCAATCAAAGCACTCCCAACAGATGGACACCCAGCCTCTGCTTCAAAACCTCCAGAGAAGGAGACTCCAACTTAGTTGGAGATGCTTCCTCTTGAGCAATATTTGCTATGGTGACACACTCTGACCTTCCTCGGCCACTTGAATTTTGGAAAGCATACTACCTGGATCCTAGATTCCACCTATAGAAAATATATATATAATCAAAAGTACAGAGGTCCCTTTCAAACATTAAATCTAAGAAACCCACACCAAACACAAGAGTGAGATCTGGGTCTGTGTGCATTTATGATGACACCCATAGAAAGAAAGAAAAAACAAGCTCCCTCTCCTCTTCTTCCCTTCTGTAGAAAAAAATTACCTGGTCAGGTTGGCGCTACTAGGAGAATATACCATGCCATAGAAGCATAGAGTTGGAAGAGACCCCCAAGGGACATCCAGTCTGACCTTCCTTCGGCCAGGCAGGAAGACCCAATCCAAACCCTCCCGACAGATGGCCATCCAGCCGTGTAAACAAAAGCCCGTGCCAAGCATTCCTCCAGTTTGGCAACTCAAGGCTCCCTTTCCCCCTCCCAACCCCATTCATCCAGCCCACCACCCCATTTCCTCCCGTATCAGTCCTTTCTCCAAGAAGGCGTGTAGAAGGTCTTTGCAATGCCAAGGGTGTCCTCCGGAGCTCGGCTCTCCAGTTGGCACGGGTGGCGTTAACAAGGGTGAGGCTTCGGGGGGCCAGCCCCACAAGGCAATCCCCCCCTTGGAAGCGGGGAAGGGGAAAATAAATCGAGGGCTCGTCCTTCACCTTCCACGATGCCCACCGTGGGCCCATGTCTCTGGTGGGCCCTTTGGCCTGGCACCTCCAATTGATCCGCTGTTCCATCGTTCTGCCTTGGTCTGGCCGAGTCAGATGATGACCTATGGGTTGGAGGGGGAAAGCAGGTTAGAAAGACTACCGTGGAATACAAGAACTGCCATGAGAACTGTTTATGCTCAGAGATGCAAGGAAGCAGTGATCCCAATGCAAGGAACCAGTTATCCCAGTGCAAGGAACCAGTTATCCCTATGCAAGGAACCGGTTATCCCAATGCAAGGAATCAGTTATTCCAGTGCAAGGAACCAGTTATCCCAATATAACGAACTAGTGATTCTAATGCAAGGAACCCGTGATCCTAAGGCAAGGAAGCAAAGATCCCAATGCAAGGAAGCAGAGATCCCAATGCAAGGAGCCAGTGATCCCAATGCAAGGAACTGGTGATCCTTATGCAAGGACCAGTTTTCCCAATTCAGCAAAGAGCCAGTGATCCCAATGCAAGGAGCCAGTGATCCCAATGCAAGGAACCAGTGATACCAATTCAAGGAGCCAGTGATCTCAATGCAAGGAACCGGTGATCCCAATGCAAGGAACCAGTTAACCCAATGCAAGGAACCGGTTATCCCAATGCAAGGACCAGTTTTCCCAATTCAGCAAAACCAGTGATCCCAATGCAAGGAGCCAGTGATCCCTATGCAAGGAACTGGTTATCCCAATGCAAGGAACCGGTGATCCCAGTGCAAGGAACTGGTGATCCCAATGCAAGGATCAGTGATCTCAATGCAAGGAACCGGTGATCTCAATGCAAGGACCAGTGATCCCAATGCAAGGAGCCAGTGATCCCAATGCAAGGAACCAGTGATCCCAATGCAAGGAACCAGTGATCCCAATGCAAGGAGCCAGTGATCCCTATGCAAGGAACCAGTGATCCCAATGCAAGGAGCCAGTGATCCCTATGCAAGGAACCGGTGATCCCAATGCAAGGACCAGTTCTCCTAATTCAGCAAGGAGCCAGTGATCCCAATGCAAGGAGCCAGTGATCCCAATGCAAGGAACCAGTGATCCCAATGCAAGGAACCAGTGATCCCAATGCAAGGAGCCAGTGATCCCAATGCAAGGAACCAGTGATCCCAATGCAAGGAACCAGTGATCCCAATGCAAGGAGCCAGTGATCCCTATGCAAGGAACCAGTGATCCCAATGCAAGGAGCCAGTGATCCCTATGCAAGGAACCGGTGATCCCAATGCAAGGACCAGTTCTCCTAATTCAGCAAGGAGCCAGTGATCCCAATGCAAGGAGCCAGTGATCCCAATGCAAGGAGCCAGTGATCCCAATGCAAGGAACCAGTGATCCCAATGCAAGGAGCCAGTGATCCCAATGCAAGGAACCAGTGATCCCAATGCAAGGAACCAGTGATCCCAATGCAAGGAGCCAGTGATCCCAATGCAAGGAACCAGTGATCCCAATGCAAGGAGCCAGTGATCCCAATGCAAGGAGCCAGTGATCCCAATGCAAGGAACCAGTGATTCCAATGCAAGGAGCCAGTGATCCCAATGCAAGGAGCCAGTGATCCCAATGCAAGGAACCAGTGATCCCAATGCAAGGAACCAGTGATCCCAATGCAAGGAGCCAGTGATCCCAATGCAAGGAACCAGTGATCCCAATGCAAGGAGCCAGTGATCCCAATGCAAGGAGCCAGTGATCCCAATGCAAGGAGCCAGTGATCCCAATGCAAGGAACCAGTGATCCCAATGCAAGGACCAGTGATCCCAATGCAAGGAACCAGTGATCCCAATGCAAGGAGCCAGTGATCCCTATGCAAGGAGCCAGTGATCCCAATGCAAGGAGCCAGTGATCCCAATGCAAGGAGCCAGTGATCCCAATGCAAGGAGCCAGTGATCCCTATGCAAGGACCAGTGATCCCAATGCAAGGAGCCAGTGATCCCAATGCAAGGAACCAGTGATTCCCAATTCAGCAAGGAGCCAGTGATCCCAATGCAAGGAACCAGTGATCCCAATGCAAGGAACCAGTGATCCCAATGCAAGGAGCCAGTGATCCCAATGCAAGGAACCAGTGATCCCAATGCAAGGAGCCAGTGATCCCAATGCAAGGAGCCAGTGATCCCAATGCAAGGAACCAGTGATCCCAATGCAAGGAGCCAGTGATCCCAATGCAAGGAGCCAGTGATCCCTATGCAAGGAACCGGTGATCCCAATGCAAGGACCAGTTCTCCTAATTCAGCAAGGAGCCAGTGATCCCAATGCAAGGAGCCAGTGATCCCAATGCAAGGAGCCAGTGATCCCAATGCAAGGAGCCAGTGATCCCAATGCAAGGAACCAGTGATCCCAATGCAAGGAGCCAGTGATCCCTATGCAAGGAACCAGTGATCCCAATGCAAGGAGCCAGTGATCCCTATGCAAGGAACCGGTGATCCCAATGCAAGGACCAGTTCTCCTAATTCAGCAAGGAGCCAGTGATCCCAATGCAAGGAGCCAGTGATCCCAATGCAAGGAACCAGTGATCCCAATGCAAGGAACCAGTGATCCCAATGCAAGGAACCAGTGATTCCAATTCAGCAAGGAGCCAGTGATCCCAATGCAAGGAACTGGTTATCCCAATGCAAGGACCAGTTATCCCAATGCAAGGAGCCAGTGATCCCTATGCAAGGAACCAGTGATCCCAATGCAAGGAGCCAGTGATCCCAATGCAAGGAACCGGTGATCCCAATGCAAGGACCAGTTCTCCTAATTCAGCAAGGAGCCAGTGATCCCAATGCAAGGAGCCAGTGATCCCAATGCAAGGAACCAGTGATCCCAATGCAAGGAACCAGTGATCCCAATGCAAGGAGCCAGTGATCCCTATGCAAGGAACCAGTGATCCCAATGCAAGGACCAGTGATCCCAATGCAAGGAGCCAGTGATCCCAATGCAAGGAACCAGTGATCCCAATGCAAGGAACCAGTGATCCCAATGCAAGGAGCCAGTGATCCCTATGCAAGGAGCCAGTGATCCCAATGCAAGGAGCCAGTGATCCCAATGCAAGGAGCCAGTGATCCCAATGCAAGGAGCCAGTGATCCCAATGCAAGGAACCAGTGATCCCAATGCAAGGAAGCCAGTGATTCCAATTCAGCAAGGAGCCAGTGATCCCAATGCAAGGAACTGGTTATCCCAATGCAAGGACCAGTTATCCCAATTCAGCAAGGAGTCAGTGATCCCAATGCAAGGAGCCAGTGATCCCAATGCAAGAAGCCAGTGATCCCAATGCTAGGAACCAGTGATGCCAATGCAAGGAACCAGTGATCTCAATGCAAGAAACCGGTGATCTCAATGCAAGGAGCCAGTGATTCCAATTAAGCAAGGAGCCAGTGATCCCAATGCAAGGAGCCAGTGATCCCTATGCAAGGAACTGGTTATCCCAATGCAAGGAACCGGTGATCCCAATGCAAGGACCAGTTATCCCAATTCAGAAAGGAGCCAGTGATCCCAATGCAAAGAACCAGTGATCCCAATGCAAGGAGCCAATGATCCCAATGCAAGAAACCAATGATCCTAATGATAGGAACCTGTGATCCCAATGTAAGGAGGCAGTAATCCTAATGTAAGGAACTAGTGATGCCAATGCAAGGAACCAGTGATGTCAATGCAAGGAACCAGTGACCCGAATGCAAGGAGTCAGTGATGCCAATACTAGGAAACACTGATCCCAATGCAAGGAAACACTGATCCCAATGCAAGAAGAATGGCTGACAAAGATTCACAAAGTAGCAGAGATGGACAAAGTGGTGACACTGATTAAGGGGAAATGTATGGCTAGTCTTGAGAGACATAAAATTGGTAGTCTATTTTGATAGAGTATGTAAGAAATCAGTCAGAGAGTGTGTGTGTCAACTGCAAAATAAGATGCATGAAGCTGATTGGTTGGGCTATGCCCGGAGTGATGGCTGAGCCTGGGACTTCGGATACTGTTACATTTTTCAGGCTTGAAATATGCAGGTGCTTGCAGAGAAGCACTGAGCAGACTGTCTCTCATAAACGGACATTATGTGAGTTAATGCGCCTGACCACATGACTGCAAATATGTTGTTCTGAACTAGGAAGAGTCAACTACTTGTTCACCTGCGTGGCATATTTTCTTTCTCTGGCAAGGCAGTGTGTGGCTGATCAAATGTGAACTACACATCATTTTCATTTCGTCACATATGTCTCTCTGCAAGGAGCTGCAGGAGGCTGTGTGCATGCCCAAACATCGGCAAAGCTGTCTCCAAGACTGCTTTGTCTCGCTTTAGCCAAAGCCTTGCTTTTAGATTGGCTAACTTGCATTGCAACTCTTGCCATAAAGGACAAAGAGCAAACCCAGCATCCCAGGGAAAACCCAGAAGAACCATATCCTCCAAAGTCCCAGAACACAAGAGAGAAGGAAGAGGTGACCCAGCACTCCAAAGCGACACCCGATCGGTCAGCAGAGCCTTCGTCCCAGGAAAAGTGGGCAGCCGGATAACCAAAAACGAAAGGATTACCTTCAGATCACCAGCTTACTCTCTCCAACTCTAACAATGAATGGGCTGTCCTGGGGAAAGGAGGGATTGCATCAGGTTGCGATCAAAGGAAGGAAAGGGTCCAGGTTTCTTCTACTTTGGCCAAACTTTACCTGGAACAATCCTTTGCCCGGTTCTAAGCATCACAATTCAAGAAGGCTATATGCAACCTGGAAGGTGTCCAGAGAAGGGTGACCAAAATGGTCAAACGCTTGGAAACCATGAATCCTTCCTGAAGAACTGCTTAGGGAACTGGATGTGTTTAGCTAGGAGAAGAGGAGTGTGGTGGAGGCTCCTTCTTTGGAGGCTTTGAAACAGAGGCTGGATGGCCATCTGTCAGGGGTGATTTGAATGCAATATTCCTGTTTCTTGGCAGAATGGGGTTGGACTGGATGGCCCAGGAGGTCTCTTCCAACTCTAGGATTCTATGACTTCAACTCGCACAATTCCTGACAACCTACCGGCATTATTCCTACTGGATGTTAGGAATTGTGCGAGTTGAAGTCCAAAACATCTGGAGGGAAGGCCAATATTGGCCCATGGCTGGTCTAGACAGTATACTATTGATGCAGCCCAGAATTGCATAGGCTTTTTGAGCTGCTGCATCACATTGTTGGCTCATGTTCCACTTGTGGTGAACTCAGACTCCTAAACCTCTTTCACTTGGGCTGTTTTCAAGTATGTACGAGTGTCCCACTGTGGCCACCCACTCACCTCTTGCTGGCCGTCCTCCGTTGTCAACCACCTGGGCTTCCCTCCGCTGCCGACCAGCGGCTTTTGCTCTGGAGCGAGGCAGGCGTAGAGTTGCTCAGCCGGTCCTTCTCCCACGCTCTCCGAGATCGTTTTCACTTCGGGAGGGTTGGGCTTCTGCTCGGGGATGCGAGCCACACGGAACCTAGCCCAGAAAAGGACAACACAATGACATATTGACACATAGATGGAGGACGACCATCTTTCAGTCCCCACCTGCACAAGTTTAATTTTGATTGTAGGTGAACTCTAAATCCCAGCAACTACAATTCCCAAATGACAAAACAGGTCCATTTCCAACATTTACTATTTGTTTGTTTGTTTGTTTGTTTACTTACTGTATTTATTTTCCACCCTTCTCACCCCACAGGGGACTCAGGGCAGATTACAATGTACATGTACATGGCAAACATTCAATGCCATAGACACACAACATATATAGCCAGACACACAGAGGCAAATTAACATTCCAGCTTTTCATGAGGGTATTGAAAAGCTGGAATGTTAAATAGCCTCTGTGTGTCTGTCTATATATGAAAACACACACACACACACACATATATGTGTGTGTATGTGTGTGTTTTCATATATAGACAGACACGCATTAGTGCTATATGTTTTCATGAGGGTATTGAGCCCCTGGTGGCGCAGTGGGTTAAACCCCTGTGCCGGCAGGACTGAAGACCGACAGGTCACAGGTTCAAATCTGGGGAGAGGCGGATGAGCTCCCTCTGTAAGCTCCAGCTCCTCATGTGGACACTTGAGAAAAGCCTCCCACAAGGATGATAAAAACATCAATTCATCCGGGTGTCCCCTGGGCAACGTCCTTGCAGACGGCCAATTCTCTCACACCAGAAGCGACTTGCAGTTTCTCAAGTTGCTCCTCGCACGACAAAAAAAAAAAATGAGGGTATTCTGGCCACCAGGGGAGCTGTCGATTCACCATCCATTTGTGACACTGATGAAGTACTTCCTCATTCTTTGCATGCTTCCTGGAGATTTTTATGGCCTCGTAAATTAGTTAAGCCCCCGGTGGTGCAGTGGGTTAAAGCACTGAGCTTGTTGATCAAAAGGTCGCAGGTTCGATTCCGGGGAGCAGCGTGAGTTTCCGCTGTCAGCCCTAGCTTCTGCCAACCTAGCAGTTCGAAAACATGCAAATGTGAGTAGATCAATAGGTACCGCTCCGGCGGGAAGGTAACGGAGCTCCATGCGGTCATGCTGGCCACATGACCTTGGAGGTGTCTATGGACAACGCTGGCTCTTCGGCTTAGAAATGGAGATGAGCACCACACCCCAGAGTCAGACATGACTGGACTTAATGTCAGGGGACTACCTTTACCTTTACAAATTAGTTAAATTAGCCTCCCCGCATTAGTGCTATCTAAATTTCCTACTTGACAGATGTAACTGTCTTTTGGGCTGCAAAGGTTGACAGCAAGCTACACAAATTGGTCGGAAGCTCACTCCAACCCAGGCTGGCTTCAAACTCATGACCTTTTGGTCAGTAGTGATCTTAATGCAGCTGACTCCCAGCCAGCTGCACCAATTCTTTTGTTTTTATTCTGAAGTAGAAGCTCCCAAACCCACACAAGGCTCACCTGCCAACAGAGAGGATGGTGATTTCCCCGGGTCTTCCTGCCTTACTTCCAGGTTTGACCAGTTTGGTGCCCATGCCGTTGGACGTGAGGGTGGCCTCGGCCCCTGCCTCTGTGGACGGGAGCACCTCCGGCCACTTCTTCTGGCTGCATCGGGTGCAGGAGGGTCCGGAGCGGGTGGCCAAGCCTTGGACTGTGTGCAAGTGGTGCTGGTGCCGGCAGATGTGCGGGAGCTGCGGCAGGAGGTGCAGCCTGGATCAATAGGAGCATAGTGTCTAGATCTAGGGAAGTAATGCTACCCCTCTATTCCGCTTGGGTTAGACCACACCTGGAATATTGTGTCCAATTCTGGGCACCACAATTCAAGAGAGATATTGACAAGCTGGAATGTGTCCAGAGGAGGGCGACTAAAATGATCAAGGGTCTGGAGAACAAGCCCTATGAGGAGCGGCTTAAGGAGCTGGACATGTTTAGCCTGAAGAAGAGAAGGCTGAGAGGAGACAGGATGAGGGCCATGTATAAATATGTGAGAGGAAGCCACAGGGAGGAGGGAGCAAGCTTGTTTTCTGCTTCCTGGAGACTAGGATGGAACAATGGCTTCAAACTACAAGAGAGGAGATTCCATCTGAACATGAGGAAGAACTTCCTGACTGTGAGAGCCGTTCAGCAGTGGAACTCTCTGCCCCGTAGTGTGGTGGAGGCTCCTTCTTTGGAAGCTTTTAAGCAGAGGCTGGATGGCCATCTGTCAGGGGTGATTTGAATGCAATATTCCAGCTTCTTGGCAGAATGGGGTTGGACTGGATGGCCCATGAGGTCTCTTCCAACTCTTTGATTCTATGACAGACTGCTGGGTATTCTCTTCCAGCCATGCCGGAGAAGAAGCAAGACGCTTGTGTAACTTCTTCTGTACATAGCTTTGTTATTTTCTGTAGCTGTTAGAAAGTAACTAAATAAAAATGTGCCACTTCAAGGCTTTGAAATTGATTGAAGACTACGCACTTGGCCATATAGCCCGAAAAAACCTACAACAACCCAGTGATTCTGGCCATGAAAGCCTTCGACAATACACTGCACACTTTGTTTTCATTGCGTGCCTCCTAGCAGTTGCTCTGATGTCGAATTTTACTGACATCCATCTCATAGAATCCTAGAGTTGGAAGGGACCTCATAGACCATCCAGTCCAACCCCATTCTGCCAAGAAGCAGGAATATTGCATTCAAAGCCGCCTTGAGAGATGGTCATCCAGCCTCTCCTTGAATTGTTTTGACTGGGCACAGGGTTGTTATTCCAGGTGAGACATGAACAAAGCAGAAGAGAACAGGACTATGACTTCCCTTGATCCAGACACTAAGACTCCTATTGATACAATCTAGGGATCACATTGGCCTTTTTAGTTGACACATCACGCTGTTGACTCATGTTCAGCTTGTGGTCTACTAAATCTCTTAGATCCCTTTCACGTGGACTCTTTTCAAGCCACGTGTCACCCAACCCATCTATGCATTTCAGTTTTTTCCTGCCGAAGCATAGTAGCATACATTTCTCCCTGCTGAAATTCATTTTCATTCATTTATTTCGTTCATCTATTAGGATGAACTAAATAAATGAACTGGCTGTTAGGAAGGCTGTTAGGAATTGTGGGAGTTGGAGTCCAAAACACCTGGAGGGTCCAAGTTTGCCCATGCCTGATCTAGTGCAAACTGCTTGGATACGTTGGAGTAGAAACACAGAATCATAGTGAACTGAAAGGAAATCTGAACAAAAAGAAAAGCCAAATATCCTACTTGTTGATGGGTTTGTAGATGGGCTGCGCGATCTGCTTGCTGTGATAGTCCTTCAGCATCTCTTCCAAAACAGCAGCGTTCTCTGTTGCCATGAAAGAAGGATGGTGGAATTCATGGGGGGAGGATTGAGAGAAAGAATGCAAGCCATTAGGAAAACAAGGGCCCGACCTACACTACCATGTAATGCTGTTTCACAATGCATATGAGTCTACACTGCCATCTAATTAAGTCCAAAGCAGTTAGACTGCTTTCCAAAACTCTGCGAATTCTGGGCACTGCTATTGAAGGGAGATGTTGACTCTAAGCTGCAATGTGTCCAGAGGAGGGCGACTCAAATGATCAAGGGTCTGGAGAACAAGCCCTATGAGGAGCGGCTTAAAGAGCTGGGAATGTTTAGCCTGAAGAAGATTAGGCTGAGAGGAGACATGATGAGGGCCATGGACCAAGAGGGGACGGGAAGTCATCAGGCAGAGGGAGCAGACTTGTTTTCTGCTGCCCTCGAAACTAGAATGCAATGGCTTCAAGCTACAAGAAAGGAGATTCCACTTGAACATCAGGAAGAACTTCCTAACTATGAGAGACAACTATTCAGCAGTGGAACTCTCTCTCTGCTCCAGAGTTCAGTGGAGGCTCCTTCTTTGGAGGCTTTGAAACAGAGGCTGGATGGGCATCTGTCAGGGGTGCTTTGAATGCAATATTCCTGCTTCTTGGCAGAATGGGGTTGGACTAGATGGCCCAGGAGGTCTCTTCCAACTCTAAGATTCTATGATTCTAAGTAGGAATGCTCCGCCCACTCAAGTGGGGGGGGGGAGTAGCCCTACTTCGCGGTGGCCTCCTCCTCGCCACCTCCGCTGCTCCCTGCCTCGGAGGGTCTTTTCCTCACCAGGCTGGGCGCCCAAATCTGGCGCCCAGCCTGGCAAAGAAGGAACGCAGAGCAGAAGAGGGATGAGGGAGAAGCTGCCACCACCAATGCCCTCTTCAGCAGCGGCCTCCTCCTCACCACTTCCGCTGCTTCCTCCCTCTAAGGGTCTCTTCCTCGCCAGGCTGGGCACCCAAGCTTGGCACCCAGCCTGGCGAGGAAGGAGTGCGGAGCAACGGATGGGCGAGGAGGAAGACACCGCTAGCCGAGGCCCTTTTCAGCAGTGGCCTCCTCTTCTTCGCCACCTCTGCTGCTCCCCACCTTGGAGGGTCCCTTCCTCACCAGGCTGGGCCCCCAAGGGCTTGTTCTCCAGACCCTTTATCATTTTAGTTGCCCTCCTCTGGACACATTCCAGCTTGTCAATATCTCTCTTGAATTGTGGTGCCCAGAATTGGACACAATATTCCAGGTGTGGTCTAACCACAGAATAGAGCATGGGGAGCAGGACTTCCCTAGATCTAGACACTAGGCTCCTATTGATGCAGGCCAAAATCCCATTGGCTTTTTTTGCCGCCACATCACATTCCTGGCTCATGTTTAACTTGTTGTCCACGAGGACTCCAAGATCTTTTTCACACGTCCTGCTCTCCAGCCAGGCATTGTCCCCCATTCTGTATCTTTGCATTTCGTTTTTTCTGCCAAAGTGGAGTATCTTGCATTTGTCCCACGTTGAACTTCATTTTGTTAGTTTTGGCCCATCTCTCTAATCTGTCAAGATCGTTTTGAATTCTGCTCCTGTCCTCTGGAGTATTGGCTCTCCCTCCCAATTTGGTGTCGTCTGCAAACTTGATGATCGTGCCTTCTAGCCCTTCATCTAAGTCATTAATAAAGATGTTGAACAGGACCGGGCCCATTTTCACTGGAACGGAACACCTGTGATAATTGAGGGATTACTGTACAGACCATGCACTCAAACAGAAAATACCACTTTCAAACCAGGAATAGGACATTTTCCCAATTTTGTTACATTGTGTAATCCATGGCTTGAAAATATTTCCTGCACCAAAAATAATTTCCTATAAGCCAACCTTGATTTTGCCATTTTATATGAGAAGCGTAATTTCCCTCTGCCACTCTATACCATAGAGGACTCACCTTTCTTCTCCGTGATCAGGCGCACCAAGACCCCGATGGTGTCTTCGTTGGCATCTTCGATCCTGTACGCATTATTGCTCCCTGGAAGAGACAAGAGAAAGGGCGACTGAAACAATAGCAAGCATTTCCCTGTTCCGCAACACAACATTAACCGATTTACTTTATCCATTCATGAAAATGCTACGTTTCTCTGGAATTTCACATCTTTGAAACAGCAATATCTTTTGGCAACATTAAAAAGTGTTGTCGAAGGCTTTCATGGCCGGAATCACTGGGTTGTTGTAGGTTTTTTTGGGCTATATGGCCATGTTCTAAAGCAGTGTTTCTCAACCTGGGGGTCGGGACCCCTGGAGGGGTCGCAAGGGGGTATCAGAGGGGTCACCAAAGACCATCAGAAAAAAGTATTTTTTTGTTGGTCATGGGGTTTCTGTGTGGGAAGTTTGGCCCAATTCTATCATTGGTGGGGTTCAGAATGCTCTTTGATTGTAGGTGAACTATACATCCCAGCAACTACAGCTCTGAAATGTCAAGGTCTATTTTCCCTAAATTCCACCAGTATGAACATTTGGGCATATTGAGTATTTGTGCTAGGTTTGGTCCAGAGCTATCACTGTTGAAGTCCATAGTGATCTCTAGATGTAGGTGAACTATAACTCCCAAACTCTAGGTCAATGCCCATCAAACCCTTCCAGTATTTTATGTTGGCCATGGGAGTTCTGTGTGCCAAGTTTGGTTCAATTCCATTGTTGGTGGAGTTCAGAATGCTCTTTGATTGTAGGTGAACTATAAATCCCAGCAACTACAACTCCCAAATGACAAAATCATCCCCACCCCACCAGTATTCAAATTTGGACGTTTCAGGTATTTGTGCCAAATTTGGTCCAGTGAATGAAAATGCATCCTGCATATGAGATATTTACATTATGATTCGTAACAGTAGCAAAATTACAGTTATGAAGTAGCAACGAAAATAATTTATGGTTGGGGTCACCACAACATGAGGACTGTATTAAGGGGTCGCAGCATTAGGAAGTTGAGGCCATGTTCTAGAGGCATTAGCTCCTGACGAATGTTTGGCTGGAATCTCACTCCCTCTGAGGATGCTTGCCATAGATGCAGGCAAAACGTCAGGAGAGAATGCCTTTAGAACATGGCCATACAGCCCGAAAAAACCTACAACAACCCAACATTAAAAAGCTTTAGTTTTCTGGAAGCTTGGTCCCTTGGGCAGAGCTGGCTTTGGGCCGAGGACAGTTCATGCCGAAGTCACCCTATTGTATTGCCAAAGTACAGGGAGTGCTGTTCATACTCATGTAGGAAGGCTAAAGATTTTAGTAAAAATAATGAGACCCCAAAAAACTGGGTCGGCTTATCCAAGCGTCAATGTAAATGCTAATTAAGAAATGGAACATACACTTCGCCAAGTAGAGTGGCAAAAGGTGAGAGAGTTTAGACCATATTGAAAAACTCTCAAACAGTGTTTCTCAACCTTCCTAACACTGCGGCCCCTTGATACAGTTCCTCCTGTTGTGGTGACCCCCAACCATCACATTATTTTCATTGCTGCTTCATAACTGTAATTTTGCTACCGTTATGAATCGTAATGTAAATATCTGATATGCAGGATGTATTTTCATTCACTGGACCACATTTGGCACAAAGACCCAACACAAATTTGAATACTGGTGCGGTCAGGGGGGTTGATTTTGTCATTTGGGTGTTGCAGTTGCTGGGATTTATAGCTCACTTACAATCAAAGAGCATTCTGAACTCCACCAATGATGGAATTGAACCAGACTTGGCACACAAAAACACCCTTGACCAGTAGAAAATACTGGAAGGGTTCGGTGGTAATAAAGCCAATGGGATTTTGGCCTGCATCAATAGGAGCATAGTGTCTAGATCTAAGGAAGTAATGCTACCCCTCTATTCTGCTTTGGTCAGACCACATCTGGAATATTGTGTCCAATTCTGGGCACCACAATTCAAGAGAGATATTGACAAGCTGGAATGTGTCCAGAGGAGGGCGACTAAAATGATCAAGGAGCAAGCTTGTTTTCCGCTGCCCTAGAGACTAGGACAAAGAACAACAGCTTCAAACTACAGGAAAGGAGATTCCACCTGAACATTAAGGAAGAACTTCCTGACTGTGAGAGCCGTTCAGCAGTGGAACTCTCTACCTTGGAGTGTGGTGGAGGCTCCTTCTTTGGAAGCTTTTAAACAGAGGCTGGGTGGCCATCTGTCAGGGGTGCTTTGGATGCAATTTTCCTGCTTCTTGGCAGAATGGGGTTGGACTGGATGGCCCATGAGGTCTTTTCCAACTCTTTGATTCTATGATTCTATGGTGGGCATTGACCTTGAGTTTTGGAGTTGTAGTCCACCTACACCCAGAGAGCATTGTGGACTCAAACAATGGATCTGGACCAAACTTGGCACGAATACTCAATATGCCCAAATGTGTACACTGGTGGTGTTTGGGGAAAATAGACCTTGACATTTGGGAGTTGTAGTTGCCAGGATTTATAGTTCACCTACAATCAAAGGGTATTCTGAACCTCAACAAAGATAGAATTCAGGCAGATTTCCCACACAGATCCCCCATGACCCACAGACGCCTTCCAGGTGTTTTGGACTTCAACTCCCACAATTCCTAACATCTTCTGGCCCCTTCCTTTCCCCCCTTAGCCACTTAAGAAAGACGAAAGGGAATTTTCCTTCCCGAACAAAAAGCTAATGTTTCCTGCTTTGCACTTAAAGATCCTAAAAATATACCAGAAACACAGGAAGAACTGCTGAAGAAGGAGGAAAGCTCAGGCACCTGGCGCTTCCTTTGCCCCTTCCTGAGCAAACCAGGAGCTACAAGGAGGATACAATTACACACAGGCAGCCCTTTGGCTTCCCATCCGCACTCGGGCCAGAACATTGCCAAATCTGCTGACTTCTTTCCCCTCTTTCAGAGTGCTGGCGGAAACAAAACTTTCCCCACAAATGCAATGCAATGCTTCTCATTACATCATGGTCAACAACTTGCGAGTGTGGAAATTCACCCTTTGCTTTCAAATGTCTTTTTTTGCAAAGGTTGGCATTCTCTTCCAAAGTTTTGGAGCTCACCTAGCTGCTTTTGTACCCTCTATCTACTGTGGAGGAGAGCAAAGGCACACGGACAATGCAGTGAGGGTTCCCCTTGTAGATGTTGCCAAGGCAAGAAGGAATACAGATCAGCCATTCTCATACATATATTAAATACTGATTGGGGGGCAATTCAAATTGCACAACCAGTAGGAGGATATGGGGAACTCTTGCCTAAAAATGTTAGAAATGCAACAACCATGAGCGCTGAAGAGTGAAGAATTCCTTGAAGCGGGCAGTAGCAATAGGGTGAGATAGTCTGACTGGCCGGAAGCATCCTCCCTCTCTGTCTAGTCTACCTATAAACTAATGCCCCAGGGGTTTCTCCACCTCTTACTCTTCCCAAGGGTCTCTTCTAGACCTTCCAAGGTGTAACTTCCCTATCTTAGAATGCAATATCTGCAGTAAAGCTTACTTAGTTTCTCCAAGCTCCTTAAATCAAGATCCTATAGGGATGCCTTCTTGCCTTCCCATCCTATAAGGATGCTGTCTTGGCTTCATGTCCCACCAGGATGCCATCTTGGCTTCCAATCCTATAAGGATGTCATCTGGGTTTCCTGTCCCACCAGGATGCCATCGTGGCGTCCCATCCTATAAGGCTTCCCATCCTATATTGGCTTCCAATCCTACAAGGATGTAATCTGGGTTTCCTGTCCCACCAGGTTGTCATCTTGGCTTCCCATCCTATAAAGATGTCACCTTGGCTTCCCATCCTATAAGGATGTCATCTTGGCTTCCAGTCCTATAAGGATGCTATCTGGGTTTCCTGTCCCACCAGGATGTCATCTTGGCTTCCCATCCTATAAGGATGTCATCTTGGCTTCCCATCCTATAAGGATGCAATCTCTGTTTCCTGCCCCACCAGGATGCCATCTTGGCTTCCCATCCTATAAGGATGCCATCTCGGTTTCCTGCCCCACCAGGATGCTATCTTGGTTTCCCATACTATAAAGATGTCATATTGGCTTCCAATCCTACAAGGATGTCATCTGGGTTTCCTGTCCCACCAGGTTGTCATCTTGGCTTCCCATCCTATAAGGATGTCATCTGGGTTTCCTGTCCCACCAGGATGTCATCTTGGCTTCCCATCCTATAAGGATGCCATCTCGGTTTCCTGTCCCACCAGGATGCCATCTTGGCTTCCCATGCCATAAATATCTTGACTTTCCATTCCATAATGATGCCACCAGTGATGAAATGACTTCCGATCCCACCAGGTTGTCATCTTGGCTTCCCATACCAAACAAATGTCTTTTTGGTTTCCCATCTCACAAGGATGCTATCTTGGCTTCCTATCCCAGGATGCCACCTTGGATTCCCATCCTATAAGTATGCCATCTGGGCTTCCTGTCCCACTAGGATGCCATCTTAGTTTCCCATGCCATAAAGATGCTACCTTGGCTTCCCATCCCACAAAGATGCCATCTTGTTTCCCCTCCCACAAAGATGCCATCTTGTTTCCCCTCCCACAAGGATGCAATCTTGACTTTCCATTCCATAATGATGCCATCAGCGATGAGGTGACTTCCCATCTCACACAAATTCCTGTCCCATTTTGGCTTCCCATTTCACAAGGATGCTATCTTGGCTTCCCATCCAACAAGGACGCCACCTTAACTTCCCATCCCATAAGGATGCCCTTGTGGCTTCCCCTCCCTCAAGAATGCCATTATGACTTTTCATCCCATAAGGATGCCATCTTGTTTCCCATTTCACAAGAATACCACCTTGGCTTCCCATCCCACAAGGGTGCCATCTTGTCTTCCCGTCCTATAAGAATGCCACCTTGGTTTTCCATCCCACATGGCTTCCCATCCTATAAGGATGTCATCTGGGTTTCCTGTCCCACCATGATTTCCCCTTCTATAAGGGTGCCATCTTGGCTTCCCATCCCACAAGGATGCTATCTTGACTTTCCATTCCATAATGATGCCATCAGCAATGAGATGACTTCACATCCCACCAGGGTACAACCGTAACTTCCCATCCCACACGAATGCCATTTTGGCTTTCTGTCACACAAGGATACTATCTTGGCCTCCTATTCTATAAGGATGTCACCTTGGTTTCCCATTCCACAAGGATGCCACCTTAGCTTCCCATCCCATAAGGGTGCCAGCTTGGCTTCCCATCCGACCAAGATGCCTTCTTTTGTTGCTCACCGTTCCGCTCGGACTTGGCCCCCTCCTCATCGGCGTCCTTATTGGCGGTGCAGTGGTACCCCCTTTTCATCAGGAGGTTGCAGAAGAGGATGCCCAAGAGGCCCATCACGCAGAAGACAGGGACGATGGCCAGGACGGCGTACTGTGTGGCGCTCTCCTCTGCCTTCCCATCCCGGGTCCCATTCCCCGGCATCTTCTCTTCCCGTCTCTGCACGGACTCAGCGTTGCGGGCCAGGCGCGTCAGCCACTTCTTGGACCCTGGGATTTGGGAGACAGAAGGGTTATTCCTACATGGGGCAGACTTTTGGAAAGACAGCATCTTCCTATATGAGCTGAGGACACAGTTTTCTACCCTATCAACTATACAGGGAAGTTTAGTGAGATTCTAGAAGAGGATCTTGTTGTATGGCTGTAGGAGCAGGAACCTTGCCATATCTATATATTCTTTCTTAGGACAATGTGTAGATCAGTCATGGGCAAACATGGGCCCTCCCTCCAGATGTTTTGGATTCCAACTCTTACAATTCCTAACAGCTGGCAGACTGTTAGGAATTGTGGGAGTTGAAGTCCAAAACACCTGAAGGGCCCAAGTCTACCTATTCCTGGTATAGATGCAGGAAATGAATAATAAAGGATATCTCCTCCATTTCTGTCCTCACCTGGACAACCTGGGATTCCTCTGTGGGCGGATGAACAAGGCCGGCAGGTGGCACTTGGGTTGGTCTCACCTTCGGGGCTGTAATACCTGCAAAGGAGAACAAAGGAGAGAAAGACAGGTGAGTGGCTGAAGCACAAAAGAAGAATCTGAACACATCAGGTTCTGCAAAGGAGAACAAAGGAGAGAAAGACAGGTGAGTGGCTGAAGCACAAAAGAAGAATCTGAACACATCCATTCTCATAGCATGTTATATATGTCTTCAAGTTCTCTGTTATCTTATGGTGATTCTACTTGGGTTTTCGTTGAAAATTGGAATCTCTTGACGCAATCAATGCATTTATGCCAATGAAGTCAACCATTGATAGATCAAAAATATTCCACATTTTGCCATTGTATATAATGGGCACCATTGTACTATGCAATTGTATATAAAAGGATTGAGTGACCATGGACCCCTAGGGCCCACTGTAATAAGGAAAGACGGAAGGAAAGGAAAAAGAAAGAAGAAGGAAACAAAGGGAGGAAGGACAGAAAGGAAAGGAGAAGGGAGGGAAGAAGAGAGGGAGGAAGGAAAACAACAAAGGAGGGAGGAAGAAAGGAAGGAAGAAAAAAAAGGGGGAAGGAAGGAAAGAAGAAGGAAAGGAGAAAGAGAGGGAAGGAAGGAAGAAGAAAAAAGGAAGGAGGAGAAGAAGGAAAACACAAAGGAAGGAAGGATAGGAAGGAAGAAGGAATACAAAGGGAGGGAGGGAGGAAAGAAAACGAGAAGGAGAAGAAGGAAGGAAGGAAGGAAGGAAGGAAGGAAGGAAGGAAGGAAGGAAGGAAGGAAGGAAGGATGAGGAAGGAAGGAAGGAAGGGGAAAAAAGATTATGCACAATTATATCCCTCAAATATCTGTATTTTGGAGGTGGAATCGGAGAGTGCGCATTTCTACCCATAATGCAGAGACTGACACTTGGGGAAGGAGCAAAGTGTCCCGTTGTTCACCTTTGCAAATGAAACCAGTGTGGGGAATTCGCATGAGTCAGGCTGACGGGCTCTTGACTCAGCAACGGAGCCAAAAGTGACTAAGGGACGGCACAGTCTCTCTCCTCCTTCTGGAGCGCAAAAGTTTGGTGGAGTTCGGCCAAAAGTTCAGAGTGACTCACTGAAACTCTTCCCACTTTTTCTTTCCCCACCGGTTTCCTCTCCAGAAGTGGAGATTCCGGCTGTTCCGGGTGTGCGGAAGTTACGCAACTCATAGAGCCTTTGTTTTTTTTATATAACTTGTCACTGATCTGACTTGTTGTCATTGCTTTGGATGGACTCGAAAGTAGTTGTTGAGCAACAACTCCCAGCATTCTGCTTCTTTGGCTAGAGGGACAGCGGTGGTTTGGGTTCATACTCTCACAAATCCTATGGCACTCATTGCTGGAAGTGACGAAGCTTGAAGACCGATAGCACACATTGCTGGAAGTGCTTTTTGGCCAAGGATACAGGGATACAGCCATAAGCAGAAACAAATACAAGGTTTCTGTATCCACAGCAAATACATTCCCAGATTTCTCATGGCAGGAGAGGCAGGGCAATGGCAATGAGAAGGGGCAGTGGCCGCTGCTCTTTCAATAATAGGTCTGGGTTGAATGCAAGGTGAGACCTAGAAGTCTCTCCTCCCTTTGCTAAATGCTCGCCTACAGTTTGAACTTATTGCAATGGTAGAAATTTGAGGACCGATGGCAAACATTGCTGGAAGTGACGAAGCTTGAGGACCCATAGCACACATTGCTGGAAGTGACGAAGCTTGAGGACCGATAGCACACATTGCTGGAAGTGACCAGTCTTGTCTATAGAGCAATTAGGGACAAAGGGAACCATGTGGTGCAGGACAACTCATGTCTGTTTCCCAGATTTATGTAACTTGTGGAGGTCACTTCCGCCTTCTTCCCAAAAGCTCTGTAACTTTATTCCCCTTTATTCCACACAGACGTGAGAGTCAGCATTGGGGACTCTTCCACCAAACTTAGGTAAACTTTCTCTTGCCTATCTCCTTTTTTACCTGTGGGGTATTACCTGCAACAATAAATACAAATTGTCACCTTTTCTAAACCTAGAACTCAGACTTGACATTCCAACATTGCTTGGAGAACTATTTCTTTCTTTAACAAGGAAAACCCTTTTTTAACCTCTCCCAGGCTGTCTACTATCTAAGCTTTGCTGATGTGGTTTCTACTACCGGATCCAAACTGCTTCTTGGGCGCCAAGTAGACCTACCAGTCAAGGCTTGTAGATTCTCCAGCTGGAATTCTTTGGGTCTCTAAAGCTGTTTTCCCCCTGATGCTGTAAGGCTGAGAGGCTGTAAGCTCCCAGCCAAAGCTTTGGCACTTTTCCCCTGGAAATTCTTAAGAAATGAAGCTTTTCTGCTGGTGAAGCTGGTCCACGTCCTATAGCTTAGTTTCCTTCTGTAAGACTGAACTAAAAATGGCTCCCTCTCCTCCCCAGATCCCTGGGAAAAGGGGCAGAACCAAACACAACAATGATAGACAGGTGGCTAGCCCTATAACTGCAAACCAAGGGAAGTCACCTTTTTGCAAAACCCCTGAAACCTTGGAATGCATGCAAACATTAAATAGAAAGAAAATGAAGTTGGAGCTCCTGGTACAGCCGTACCAGCACACCATGTCTAGTGGACATGTAGAGTGATGGTGCCAAAGTGGCAATGGAAACAGTAAGTTGTGTTACCCTGGCATGCAGTCCCCACACAAGGTGTCTGCAACAGCCGTCCCAGAGCTGGCCTGGACCCTCTTCTTGCCCTCGCAGCGGGAATGGGGCTGGCAGCGGTCCAACCCAAAGCCTGGAGAGTAGGCACCTGCTGGACAAGGCTTGCAGACCATCCCCAGGCCGGAGCCAGAGCCACATTTCTGTGGGGGAAAGCAACAAAAAGTCAGGGTGAGTCACACGTCCCACAGAGCCCGAGGATGTTTTGAGATGTTTATTGGCATGGGCCAACTTTGGCCCTTGGGGTGTTTTGGACTTCAACTCACACAACTCAGAACAGTCCACAGGAAGTGGGTCAGGGGAAATCTTTAATGAACGTAGTGTTATCAACTGGTGTAACATTAGAAAATGTTGACCATTTCCGCTCCCTTGGCAGCCACCTCTCCACCAAAGTCAACATCGACACCGAAATACAACACCGCCTGAGCTCTGTGAGCGCAGCATTTTTCCAAATGAAGCAGAGAGTGTTTGAGGACCGGGACATCCGTAGGGATCCCAAGGTGCTTGTCTATAAGCTATTGTCCTCCCAACCCTGCTCTATGCCTGCGAAACGTGGACTGTCTACAGACGTCACATGCAACTCCTGGAACGATTCCATCAGCGCTGCCTCCGGAAAATCCTGCAAATCTCTTGGGAAGACAGGCGGACAAACGTCAGCGTGCTGGAAGAAGCAAAGACCACCAGCATTGAAGCGATGGTCCTCCACCATCAACTCCGCTGGACCGGCCACGTTGTCCGGATGCCCAACCACCGTCTCTCAACTCCGAACTCAAGAATGGAAAACGGAATGTTTGTGGACAGGAAAAGAGATTTAAAGATGGGCTCAAAGCCAACCTTAAAAACTCTGGCATAGACACTGAGAACTGGGAAGCCCTGGCCCTTGACGCTCGCTGGAGGTCAGCTGTGACCAGCAGTGCTGCAGAATTTGAAGATGCACGAATGGAGGGCGAAAGGGAGAAGCGTGCCAAGAGGACGAACCCCGGCCGAGCCCGCCTTCCACCTGGAAACCAATGCCCTCACTGCGGAAGAAGATGCAGAGCAAGAATAGGGCTCCACAGCCACATACGGACCCACAAGAATACTGGAAGACAATCATCCTCGGAAAGCGAGGATCGCCTAAGTAAGTATCAACTTGGATTTGCCTTGGAGCCAGATTGGCAGCAGTGTTGTTGCCTCCAAGAGGAGGGCTTTCCATTCAAGCACTGAGATGATCCATCACTGATATGCATAACCCACAAGGTGGGTCTCCTCATAGAGAGATAAAGCGGGTGCTCACAACAACAACAACATCTAGAATTCTTGCAGGTCAGTTTGCTTACTCTATCTGGTTCCTCTCCCGGCGGACATCCTTCGCAAGGGACGCAGTGGCCTTCGGCGTTTTGGTACTCTTCTGTTCCACAGCCTTGTGCCCAGGCCCCATTCCAGCAAAAGGCCTGAAACAAGAGGAAACAGGGTTGTAAAAATGGAATTTTGTTGCTTTATGATGTTCGAAAAAAGAGGGAACATTGCAATCCATTTGGATCTCCAAGACAATCTGGTGCAACTTGGAATGGAGGCTGAATCTAATGAGTCATGGGTGGCAATGTGCCTGGACTTGCGGATTTTTGGGAACGCTACTCCTCTCAACTCCAAGCAGTAAAGACACAATTGCAGGATGATGGGAACTGTAGTCCTGCCATATCTACAGATTGCTCGCCCTTGCTGTAGATCAGACATGGGCAAACTTTGGCCCTCCTTCCAGGTGTTTTTCCCCTTTTCCCCCTCAGCTTAAGCGGCTGAGGGGGTAAAGGAAGGAGCCTGAGGCTGTTAGGAATGGTGGGATTTGAAGTCCAAAACACTGGAAGTTTGCCCCTGCCTGCCTTAGATGGCTCCGGGTTTCATAGCCTTGAAGATAATGAATTAATGAGCAGGCAAGATCGTCTGCAATTAAGGCTCCGGAGAAGTTCTCGCTTGGCCAGCAAGAGAGAAGCCAAGGAAGCCAAGGGTCAATGCAATGCGTTCATGTTGACCACACAGCACAAGGTTTGTCCATATACCATGTTAGTGCCTTCACCTTTAAGACCGTGGTTTGGAACCGGAATACTGTAAACATTTGCTGCAAATTACAGCTCAGCCAACCACGAAAGCCAAATTTCCCATTCTCTGACTCAGTTAACAGATGCACACTGGAAAGATGCCACTGTGGGGGTCACAGAGGGCTAGAAAACAAAGTTTTCTCCTTAAAGTGGCAAAACCAAATTGGTTCCTTATTATTCAGGCCACAGACTAAAAGACTCTGGAGAGTTCACGTCTTTGGAATTGAGGGACTTGCAGTTTTTACGAGACCCTTGGCTTTCTCTGCCTAAGAGTGCTAGTCAAGGCTTGAAGAAGGTTGCTATTTCCAACAGAATATATATAGTAAACATGGGATCCTGATGCAGCCGCAACAGCAGCAAGCTTGGAGGAGCTGCAAAATTGGTCAAAGGGCAAAGTAATGTAAGGGAAAGAGTATATATTAATGGCGCCGAAAACACGCCCGGTAAAAAAAGTGAGATATTAAATGGGTTGGAGTGAAAAACCAACCAAGGGGGAAAGGTAATGGGATTAGATTTGGGTTCAGTATTTTGGGAAATGGCTGAATATCTTGGGCCACGGTGGAACCTGCCACTGGTTGGCCAGCCGGCCAAGTGGCAGGAAACTTCCCACTGTTCAGGCGGCTTCTGGGAAGTGTCTCTACTTCGCAGATTTTCACTTATCGCGGGAGGTCCTGGATTAAGTGTGGGAACACTGTATAAATTAGAGGATGATATTCTGTATAGACTACTGCAACACACTCTACATGGAGTTGCCTTTGAAGACGGTCCGGAAGCTTCAACTAGTCCAACGAATGGCAGCCAGGTTGCTAACAGGAGCGGCCCTCAGGAAGCATACAACCCCTTGTTGCGCCAGTTCCACTGGCTGCCGGTTTGCTACCGGGCCCAATCCAAAGTGCTGGCTTTGGCCTTTAAAGCCCTAAACAGTTCTGGCCCAACTTACCTGTCCGAACGCATCTCCCCTTACGAACCATCGAGGACCCTGAGATGATCTGGGGAGGCCCTGCTCTCGGTCCTGCCTTTGTCACAAGTATGTCTGGCGGAGACGAGACAGTGCCTTCTCAGTGGTGGCCCCTCGGCTATGGAACGCCCTCCCTAGGGAGATCAGATCAGCTCCCTCCCTACTAAGGTTTCACCCTGAGATGATCTGGGGAGGCCCTGCTCTCGGTCCTGCCTTTGTCACAAGTATGTCTGGCGGAGACGAGACAGTGCCTTCTCAGTGGTGGCCCCTCGGCTATGGAACGCCCTCCCTAGGGAGATCAGATCAGCTCCCTCCCTACTAAGGTTTCGGAGGCAAATTAAAACATAGTTGTTTGAGCAAGCGTTCACAAATGCAGAGTAAACGACACAGGAAATTGACTTGACGATGGAAGTCGACAATGCTTGATAATAAGGAGATGCCAATGATGTTGTTATTATTGTTGTTGTTTTATACTGCTTTAATATTTTAACTTGTTTTATGATATTATTTGTACTGTTTTGCTGGAACCCGCCTTGAGTCGCCGATTCAAGTCCTAGGCCCAAGCAATCCAAAATAGGCATCCTTAGCAACTGCATTCACCCAGTATTCATATACCATCAGTCCCAGAGACAACAGAAGCTTTTGACAAACTTCTGTTTGCATACTGAGAAAAGCAGTATACAAATACAGTAAATAAATAAATAAATAAATAAATAAATAAATATCCATATCCACAGACAGGGTGGGTCAATACCAGAGATAAATTAAAGGGTTGGGGAGAATGCTTGGCATCCTTTTGTGGCTGTATTAAAAACACACACACACTGGAACATTGGTTTGAAATAAAGTGGCAGCTGTCGTGGTCACTTAAATGGCAGGCCAGCTGTGATTGACCTTACTCATAGTTAGTGGAAATAAGCCAACTTCAAACCACAAGTGACCAGGAATGCATCTACATTGCCAGTTTTAAGCATGTCTTGTTTTTAGTCTCTACTCTTATGAATTTTATGGAAATAAGTTTTAAGATGTGAAGTCTTGGCTCTGTGTTTCCTCTCTTCTGCTTTATTTCCCCCTGGTTATAGATACTTTCCTTTGTATTAGTTTTTAGGTGGAGCATAAACCGCCCCCCCCCCCAGCCTTAGTTGGTCTATTCCATTTGCCTGTACAGAGCTCTCTTGCGAGACTCCTCCCCTTTCTGCAGCAGTGACCAAAGGCTTGGGCATTGTCTGGTAATCCTAGGCCCAAGCAATCCAAAACAGGCATCCTTAGCACCTGCATTCAGCCAGTATTCATATACCATCAGTCCCAGAGACAACAGAAGCTTTTGACCAGCTTAAGCTTCACAAGGAAGAAGACTGAGACAGTTTATAACCATCACTTTGCACTATCGTTTTGCACCAGAGACAGGAAACTTTCAAAGACTCCAGAGAGATGACTGCAACCAGCAAAATCTCTTTTTGTAATGTATTGTTTCAAATTCTCCTATAATAATCCCGGGAAAAGTTACTTTCATAGAATCATAGAATCATAGAATCAAAGAGTTGGAAGGGACCTCATGGGCCATCCAGTCCAACCCCATTCTGCCAAGAAGCAGGAATATTGCATTCAAATCACCCCTGACAGATGGCCATCCAGCCTCTGTTTAAAAGCTTCCAAAGAAGGAGCCTCCACCACACTCCGGGGCAGAGAGTTCCACTGCTGAACGGCTCTCACAGTCAGGAAGTTCTTCCTCATGTTCAGATGGAATCTCCTCTCTTGTAGTTTGAAGCCATTGTTCCGCGTCCTAGTCTCCAGAAGCAGAAAACAAGCTTGCTCCCTCCTCCCTGTGGCTTCCTCTCACATATTTATACATGGCTATCATATCTCCTCTCAGCCTTCTCTTCTTCAGGCTAAACATGCCCAGCTCCTTAAGCCGCTCCTCATAGGGCTTGTTCTCCAGACCCTTGATCATATTAGTCGCCCTCCTCTGGACACATTCCAGCTTGTCAATATCTCTCTTGAATTGTGGTGCCCAGAATTGGACACAATATTCCAGGTGTGGTCTAACCAAAGCGGAATAGAGGGGTAGCATTACTTCCCTAGATCTAGACACTATGCTCCTATTGATGCAGGCCAAAATCCCATTTTTTTTTTGCCGCCACATCACATTGTTGGCTCATGTTTAACTTGTTGTCCACGAGGACTCCAAGATCTTTTTCACACGTACTGCTCTCAAGCCAAGCATCGTCCCCCATTCTGTATCTTTGCATTTCGTTTTTCCTGCCAAAGTGGAGTATCTTGCATTTGTCACTGTTGAACTTCATTTTGTTAGTTTTGGCCCATCTCTCTAATCTGTCAAGATCGTTTTGAATTCTGCTCCTGTCCTCTGGACTATTGGCTATCCCTCCCAATTTGGTGTCGTCTCAAACTTGATGATCATGCCTTCTAGCCCTTCATCTAAGTCATTAATAAAGATGTTGAACAGGACCGGGCCCAGGACGGAACCCTGCGGCACTCCACTTGTCACTTCTTTCCAAGATGACGAGGAAGCATTAGTGAGCACTCTCTGTGTTCGTCCACTTAACCAATTACAGATCCACCTCACCGTAGTTTTGCCTAGCCCACAATGGACTAGTTTCCTTGCCAGAAGGTCATGGCGGACCTTGTCGAAGGCCTTACTGAAATCCAGGTACGCTACATCCACGGCATTCCCCGCATCTACCCAGCTTGTAGCTCTATCGAAGAAAGAGATCAGATTAGTCTGGCATGACTTGTTTTTGATAAATCCATGTTGACTATTAGCGATGACTGCATTTGTTTCTAAGTGTTTGCAGACCGCTTCCTTAACAATCTTTTCCAGAATCTTGCCCGGTATCGACGTGATGCTGACCGGACGGTAGTTGTTTGGGTCATCCTTTTTTCCCTTCTTGAAGATTGGGACCACATTGGCCCTCCTCCAATCTGCTGGAACTTCTCCCGTTCTCTAAGAACTCTCAAAGATGGTTGCCAATGGTTCCGAAATGACTTCCGCTAGTTCCTTCAATACTCTGGGGTGTAGTTGATCTGGCCCTGGGGACTTGAACTCATTAAGAGCGGCCAGGTATTCCTGGACGACTTCTTTCCCAATTTGGGGTTGGATGTCCTCCAATCCCTCATCCACTCCATCTTGCTGAGGTTGAAGACTCTCTTTTTGTGAGAAGACCGAGGCAAAGAAGGCATTAAGTAGTTCTGCCTTTTCCCTATCCCCTGTCAGCATTTCCCCATCTTCTCCTCGAAGAGGTCCTATCGCCTCCTTGTTTTTCCTTTTTCTACTGACATAAGAAAAGAAGCCCTTTTTATTGTTTTTAATGTCCCTGGCAAGCCTGAGCTCGTTTTGTGCTTTAGCCTTGCGAACCTTTTCCCTACAGGTGTTGGCTATTTGTTTGAATTCTTCTTTGGTGATTTCTCCCTTTTTCCACTTTGTTTATCTTGTTTTCAGTAAATTCATTTGATTATCTTTTCATTTTGCCTAAAGTGCCTCTGTGTGTTAAGGGTCTTAATCTTAACAGAAGGTATACAGATAGCCCCTGAGTAAAGGAAAAACACAATCAAAGCACCCCCAACAGATGGCCATCAGACTTTGTAATAATAGTAGTAGTAGTAGCAGCAGTAGTAATAGGAGCAGCCATCCAGTCGAACCCCCTTCTGCCATGCAGGAAAAACACAATCAAAGCACCCCCAACAGATGGCCATCAGCCTTTGTAGTAGTATTAGTCGTAGTAATAATAGTAGTAATATTAGTAGTAATAGGAGCAGCCATCCAGTCCAACCCCCTTCTGCCATGCAGGAAAACACAATCAAAGCACACCCAACAGATGGCCATCAGCCTTTGTAGTAGTAGTAGTAGTAGTTGTAGTAGTAGTAATAGGAGCAGCCATCCAGCCCAACCCCCTTATGCCATGCAGGGAAAACACAATCAAAGCACCCCCAACAGATGGCCACCAGCCATTGTAATAATAGTAGTGGTAGTAGTAGTAGTAGAAGTAATAGTAGTAGTAGTAGTAGTAGTAGTAATAGGACCATCCATCCCATCCAACCTCCTTCTGCCAGTGCTGAAAGAGCACAATGAAAGCACCCCCAACAAATGGCCATCAGCCTTTGTAATAGTAGTAGTAGTAGGCAGCCACCCCACCCCCTTTCTGCCATGCAGGAAGAGTACAATCAAAGCACCCCCAACAGATAGCCATCAGCCTTTGTAATAGTAGTAGCCGCAGGGGGCATCCAGTACAATCCCTTTCTGCCATGCAGGAAAAGTGCAATCAAAGCACCCCCAACAGATGGCCAACCAGCTTTTGTAATAGTAGTAGTAGTAGTAGTAGTAGTAGTAGTAATAGCAGAAACCCCAGGTGCCATCCAGTTCAACTCCCTTCTGCCATGCAAGAAAAGCACAATCAAAGCACCCCTTGAGCAATGGGAGGGAAACTACAATTTCCAGGATTACATAGCATTGAAGTATGGGCAATGAATGAGAGGTGACATCCCCAAATTGGAGCTCCAGATGCATCCCCTGAAGCAGCTTCCCCTTTGGCTTCGACTCAGCATGAAGATGCCTGCTCAGCCATGCTCCATAAATCTTATTCCATAGCCAAGAAATGGGAAGAACTGCCTCAAACCCAGATAAAGATGACAAAGGGAGCAAAACTGTTATTTTTAGACCACAGCAAGTCTTGCCATTACGATCCTCTTGGCTTCCCCTAAGATTTCTCCCCCTTCGTTGGCTGGGATTTCATTTATTTTGGGGGGGAAAGGAACGAAAGAAGATTTTAGCCCCGCCGGTCCTAAGTGATATTTAAGTGCAACGATGTTCATACTGCCACACTGGAAAAAGAAGGAATCATTTGCTCTTGGGTTCACTTAAGGTGACCATCTCCGCCTGTAATTTCCAAACCGTCTGCCAAGAAATGTTTGCAAACAAGGAGATAACCGAGGAAACCCTGAGGAAGATTTGGACACTTCTGCAGGCAGAAAGCAGATGCCGGCAAAGGACCCAATGTATGATTTGCATGACTGTTTGGGGCATGGATGGTTGCAATGTGCCTGTGTCTGTGACTGAGCAGTGATGCAGAGTCAAAGCTCATAGAATCATAGAATCAAAGAGTTGGAAGAGACCTCATGGGCCATCCAGTCCAACCCCATTCTGCCAAGAAGCAGGAATATTGCATTCAAATCATCCCTGACAGATGGCCATCCAGCCTCTGTTTAAAAGCTTCCAAAGAAGGAGCCTCCACCACACTCCGGGCAGAGAGTTCCACTGCTGAACGGCTCTCACAGTCAGGAAGTTCTTCCTCATGTTCAGATGGAATCTCCTTTCTTGTAGTTTGAAGCCATTGTTCCATTGCATCCTAGTCTCCAGGGAAGCAGAAAACAAGCTTGCTCCCTCCTCCCTGTGGCTTCCTCTCACATATTTATATATGGCTATCATATCCCCTCTCAGCCTTCTCTTCTTCAGGCTAAACATGCCCAGCTCCTTAAGCCGCTCCTCATAGGGCTTGTTCTCCATACCCTTGATCATTTTAGTCGCCCTCCTCTGGACACATTCCAGCTTGTCAATATCTCTCTTGAATTGTGGTGCCCAGAATTGGACACAATATTCCAGGTGTGGTCTAACCAAAGCAGAATAGAGGGGTAGCATGACTTCTCTAGATCTAGACACTATGCTCCTATTGATGCAGGCCAAAATCCCATTGGCTTTTTTTGCCGCCACATCACATTGTTGGCTCATGTTTAACTTGTTGTCCACGAGGACTCCAAGATCTTTTTCACACGTACTGCTCTCAAGCCAGGCATCGTCCCCCATTCTGTATCTTTGCATTTCATTTTTTCTGCCGAAGTGGAGTATCTTGCATTTGTCACTGTTGAACTTCATTTTGTTAGTTTTGGCCCATCTCTCTAATCTGTCAAGATCGTTTTGAATCCTGCTCCTGTCTTCTGGAGTATTGGCTATCTCTCCCAATTTGGTGTCGTCTGCAAACTTGATGATCCTGCCTTCTAACCCTTCATCTAAGCTTATAGAATATATAGTGGAGACAATGATATAGGATGAGCATCTCTAAGCTGATACCCCCTCCCCCCCAGCTAACTAAGCCACTCCTCAGAAGGCTTGGTTTGCAAACCTTTAATCCTTTTGGTGGCCTTTCTCTGGACCCCTTCCAACTTGGCAATATTCCTCTTGAATGGCTTTGTACTGAACTGGACATAGTGTTATTCCAGGTTAAAGGGTCTGACTAAAGCAGAAGAATCCTAGAATCCTAGAGTTGGAAGAGACCTTGCGGGCCATGTAGTCCAACCCCGTTTGTGGCTGCATCTGAGCATTGCATGTACATACATATCTATTTATGTGGCCATAACCCCGAAATCAGGTGGATTTTTCACCAGTATTTTAAGTTGGACATAGAAGAATATATGTGCCAAGTTTGGCCAAGATCCATCAAGCCATGTAGAATCCTTTGAGGTACCAACTTACAAACATATTTTCACATAATATGTAGATATAGATATAAATCCGCTTTCAGTATGGTCTTTGTTTCCCTATCTCTGCACTGCCCTCCTGTGGATGGTTCTGAGCATTGCATGCACATACATATCCATTTACTTATTTATGTAAATGAAACTTATTCAAATGAAACCCCACCAGTATTTTATGTTGGACATGGAAGAATATATGTGCCAATTTTGGCCAAGATCTATCAAGCCATGTGGAATCCTTTGAGGTACAAACTTACAAACATATTTTCACATATATAAATCTGCTTTTTGTATGGTCTTTGTTTTTCTATCTGTATACTGCCATCCTGTGCATCCGGGCATTGCATGTACATATGTATATATTTATGTGGCCCTAGACCCAAAATTGGGTGGATTTTTCAAATGAAACCCCACTAGTATTTTAAGTCGGACATGGAAGAATATATATGCCAAGTTTGGCCAAGATCTATTAAGCCATGTAGGAGCCTTTGAGGTACAAACATATGTACATAGATATAGACATACATCTGCTTTGTGTACGGTCTTTGTTTCCCTATCTCTCCACTGCCCTCCTGTGGCCCCATCTGAGCATTGCATGTACATACATATCTATTTACTTATTTATGTGGCCCCAGGCCCCAAAATGAGGTGGATTTTTCAACTGAAACCCCACCAGTATTTTAAGTTGGACATGGAAGAATATATATGCCAAGTTTGACCAAGATCTATTAAGCCATGTAGGAGCCTTTGAGGTACAAACATATGTACATAGATATAGATATACATCTGCTTTTTGTATGGTCTTTGTTTCCCTATCTCTCTACTGCCCTCCTGTGGCCCCATCTGAGCACTGAATGTACATATATATGTATTTACTTATGTAGCCCTAGCCCCAAAATGGGGTGGATTTTTCAACTGAAACCCCACCAGTATTTTAAGTGGGACATGGAAGAATATATATGCCAAGTTTGGCCAAGATCTATTAAGCCATGTAGGAGCCTTTGAGGTACAAACATATGTACATAGATATAGATATACATCTGCTTTTTGTATGGTCTTTGTTTCCCTATCTCTCTACTGCCCTCCTGTGGCCCCATCTGAGCATTGAATGTACATATATATGTATTTACTTATGTAGCCCTAGCCCCAAAATGGGGTGGATTTTTCAACTGAAACCCCACCAGTATTTTAAGTTGGACATGGAAGAATATATATGCCAAGTTTGACCAAGATCTATTAAGCCATGTAGGAGCCTTTGAGGTACAAACATATGTACATAGATATAGATAATATACATCTGCTTTGTGTATAGAAAACACCCAGGGTAAAGGATTCATAGATTTTTCCCTATTTAATAAGATAATGGATACTTACCATTAAGAGGCCAATGATGGAATAGAGATTCAGGGTCCTCTTCATCTTGCAGTGGCCCAATTTCAAAGCAGCTGGAGAGATGGGGAAAAAAGAAGTTGCCTTATTAGTGAGGGAGGTTCAGCTGACATGGCATCTCTCGTCCAAACCCTTCTCCCATTGAGTCCCTGCTTTTGAATCCTCTGCCTTTCCTTCCATCCCACAGACGTTCCAGCAACGGCGCTGTTTATTTCTGCAAATTACGGCCAATTGCAGAGGAAACCTATCAGCTATGATTAAGTCCGAGAGAAAGGATATGAAGAGGAAGGCAAAGGCTTCCTCTCCAGTGGGAGGCATCCCGCTTCCCCTTCTGTGTTTATTTATATGGGGTCGGATGCTTTCGGAAATCACACAAAGCGTTGGATATTTTCCACGCTTCTTCCGACTTTAAAAACACAACAACAATAGATACTCGGCCGGAACAAGGAACGTAAGGAACCAAACCAAAGGGCGAGGGAGAGGAAATTGTATTGTTTTCTAATGCTGTGAGCCACTTGGTCAAGACCTAATCCAGAAATAAAAGTGATACACACACACACACACACACAAGGCTTGGGTATTTATTTATTTATTTCATTTACTTATACCCCGCCCTTCTCACCCCGGGGGGGACTCAGGGCGGCTTACAGTGGGGGCACAATTGATGCCCAAGACAATTCACAAGCAATACAGATACAATCAATTCAACAATTAACTAAAAACATCAATACATAATAAAATCATAAAACAATCTCATGCTCAGGGTTCAGAGTCCATATATTCATTCCATTCCATTTGTCCTTGTCCATCATCAGATCCTTCAGTTAGCTGTCAGAATGACCAAAGGCTTGATCCCAGATCAGGTCTTCAGTTTTTTCCTGAAACACCAAGAGGGAAGATGCCGATCTAATCTCCCCGGGGAGTGAGTTCCACAGGTGGGGGGCCACCACTGAGAAGGCCCTGCTCCTCGTCCCCGCCAGCCTCACTTGTGAGAGTGGCGGGGTCGAGAGCAGGGCCTCCCCAGAAGATCTTAAACTTCGAGGTGGGATGTAGAGGGAGATCCGTTCAGACAAATACACTGGGCCAGAACCGTATAGGGTTTTGTAGGTCAAAACCAGCACTTTGAATTGTGCTCGGAATTGGATCGGCAGCCAGTGGAGCTGGCGCAACAGGGGGGTTGTATGCTCCCTGTACGCTGCTCCGGTGAGCAATCTGGCTGCTTCTCGCTGGACTAGTTGGAGTTTCCGAGCAGTTTTCAAAGTTCATTCGGAAGCTTCTAAAATCATAATTAATTCGGATTAAATTCACTTTTGAATCAATTTCGAGCCATGCAGAAATAGTGGGAGGAGCAATTCCGAACTGAAACCACTTACCCATTGTTCGAAATTGTTTTCGGATGTCTCCCACAGTTATTTTGATTTTTAGACCATTAAGCAATTTTGGCAAAGCCTAACAAACGTTTTTAAAATCTCGCCCCCAGTGGCCTTCAAGAAGAGCTTAGCCACGCCCACCCCGTCCCTCTGCATCACAGCTTGCCGCCAGGGAAGGAAGGGAAACCGCGAGATTTTAAAACCGTTTGTTAGGCTTTGCCAAAATTGTTTAATGGTTCTGGAGGGAGGAAGGGACACCTTTCATTAACGAAACAAACGAAGCAATTCGGATTTCCTGATATTTCCAATCTTTTTTTCATTAAAATTTTGTAAATCATTTCAAAATCGAATCGCCAGCGCCCCGTACATCCAAAACGGGTTTTGAACCATTTTTTTATCACCAAAGCCACACACACACACACACAGAGTCATCATCACTATCACTATCATCATCTAGCACAGTGTTTCTCAACCTTTCTAATGCCGTGGCCCCTAAATATGGTTCCTCATGTTGTGATGACCCCAACCATAATATTATTTTCATTGCCCCTTTATAACTGTAATTTTGCTACTGTTCCGAATCTTAATGTAAATATCTGACATGCAGGATGAGTTTTCATTGTTATAAATTCAACATAATTAAAGCATCATGATGAAGCAGAAAAAAATATGTTTGGGGGAATATGGAAAACAGATGATGGGATTTGCAGTACCTTCAACCGATTCAGCTCTGACTTCCACAGACAACTGAGACCGTCACAAATTACAGACCTGGACCAAACCTGGCACACAGAACTCCAATGTCAAACAGAACATACTGGAGGGGGTTGGGAGGAATTGACAATGATTCAGGGTAGATGTAGTTCATCTACATCCAGAGAGCACTGTGAACCCAAACAATGATGGATCTGGACCTCGAGCAGAGCCCCCATTGAATAGCTTTCACCCTTGCTGGCTGGCAGGGTTACGAGCCAGGCAAGGGTAACTCTGCTTGAAGCCTCGCCTCGGGCAAAGCCTCCCTCGCCTGGCTCGAAACCCCGCCGGCTGGCAAGTGGGGAGAGCCAGGCAAGGGAGGCTTTGTGGGAGGCCAGGACTTGAGCAGAGCCCTCCTTGCCTGGCTTTGCCCAGCCATTTTGAACAGGCGAAGGGGGTGGGTCCAAAGGAGCCGGCCTCATGACTCCTCCGAATTGGTCAAATGACCCCCCTGGGGATCGCGACCCTCAGGTTGAGAACCGCTGATCTAGCACTTACAACCCCCCCCCCCAACATAATGGCATCAATTCTCCCTTTCTATTCACAAAGGGTAGTCGGAGGTATACTATTCCTAGATATAGAGGCTCTATTATTTATTAATTTTATTTATGTACAGTATTTAAATTCTGCCCTTCTCACGCCACAGGGAACACAGGGCAGATTACAATGCACATATACATGGCAAACATTGAATGACATACAACATATATAGACAGACACAGAGACCATTTAACATTCCAGCTTTTTCCGGCTTCTTGAGGGTATGCTCGATTCCGGCCACTGATGATGCTAAGTCCTTTGATGGTGTACTTCCTCATTCTTCTACACGCTGCTAAGAAGGTTTTATGGCATCGTAAATTAGTTAAATTACCCTCCCTGCACAAAGCAGTATCTAAATGACCCAGATGCAACTGTCTTTCGCGCTGCATAGGTCAACAGCAAGCTAGACTATTAATGGTTGGGAGCTTCCTCCGACCCGGGCTGGCTTCGAACTCATGACCTCTCAGTCAGTAGTGATTTAACGCAGCTGGCTACTAACTAGCCAGCTGCATTATTATATAGGGCCGGGCTTTAGCACAGTGGTTTAAGCTGCCAGCTGCAGAAATTCTTCCTGTTTGAAAGGCCAACAGTTCAAGCCCAGGTTGGGGTGAGCTTCCAACCATCAGCCCAGCTTCTGCTCACCTAGCAGGTCACAAACAGTATGTGAGTAGATAAATAGGTACCACTTTGGTGAGTTTTAGTCCAAACTTTGTATGAGATGAAATTATTTTGCTGTCAAGTTCCATGCCAGAGAAGTGAGGAAACCCTTCAAGATTTTAGTCTGAACTTTAACAGAGCCGTATTGTCCCCTGAGCTCATTGTAAGGATTGGATTGAGAACCGTGTGCCATTAAAACGAACCCCAGTCATTGTAGTCGTTGTAAAGCTCGACCCAAGAGAGGCTAATGAAATGCTGGGGATTCAATTATCTCGATCGATTCGTTCCCTGGAGAGTCCCAATCCATCACGCTCCTAACGCCACGGCCTTGGATTTGCAACCTTGGAAGAAGGCCAAGTGTTGGCTTTCTTTCCTGTTATACCTTGGCATCGGCGTTTTGCATTTCAATCAATGATAAAAGTAGGATACATGTCAATCATAAAGGAGTTAGAGATTCTCTTTGCATAGAGGTGGCCTGGACTCTGTTGCCTGGAGGCATCCTCTGTTTGGGAGGTTTTAACTGACCCTTGTTTGTTTGCTGTCTGGAGTTCCCTTCTTTCTTTATTTACTGTCTTGATTCTGGTGTTTTTATTATTAATGCGGATCACCAGATTTTGTTCCTTTTTCATGGATTCCCCCTTTGTGTTGAAATTGTCCACGTGCTACTTGTGGATTTCAATGGCTTCTCTGTATAGACTGATATAATCCAGGGAAGTCATGCTCCCCATGCTCTATTATGCCTTAGTTAGACCACATTTGGAATACTGTGTCCAATTCTGGGCACCACAATTGAAGGGAGATGTTGACATGCTGGAATGTGTCCAGAGGAGGGCGACTAAATTAATCAAGGGCCTGGAGAACAAGCCCTATGAGGAGCGGCTGAAAGAGCTGGGCATGTTTAGCTTACAGAAGAGAAAGCTGAGAGGAGACATGATAGCCATGTATAAATACGTGAGAGGAAGTCATAGGGAGGAGGGAGCAAGCTTGTTTTCTGCTGCCCTAGAGATTAGGACAAGGAACAATGGCTTCAAACTACAAGAAAGGAGATTCCGCCTGAACATTAGGAAGAACTTCCTGACTGTGAGAGCCGTTTAGCATTGGAACTCTCTGCCTCGGAGTGTGGTGGAGGCTCCTTCTTTGGAAGCTTTTTAAAAACAGAGGCTGGATGGCCATCTGTTAGGGGTGCTTTGAAGGTGATTGTCCTGCTTCTTGGCAGAATGGGGTTGGACTGGATGGCCCATGAGGTCTCTTCCAACTGATTCTATGATTCCACATGTTGCAATGTATCATCATCGTAGCCTTGATTTATATACCACCTTCTTCCCAAAACAGGAAACCGTACATGCCAAATCCACGTTCATACACTATGAATGTCTTTGTCATGCCTTCCTTCCTTCTTCCCTTCTTTCCTCCCTCTCTCTCTATTTCTTTGGTAATCATACTTTAAAAATCCAATTAAGGATGCTTTAAAAATACCCTGAGCAATAAGCCCACTGAGCAGAAACTAAAATGACCACTTAAATGAATGTTTTCCCAGGATGAGGAGAGGATTCAGCAAGCCTTGTTTTTCTGAAACTGCTTGAAGGCAGAGAAGACCAGATTGGCTTTGCCAGCTGGCGAAGGAGACAGAAAACAGCCTTGGGTTCCTCCAAGGACTTCCAAAGTCTCTCCATATCCCGGCATTGGGAGATGAAGCTTTAACAACACAACCGCTCAATGCTAAGCCTTCCTGCCAA